GCCCCCAGGTATTATTGCATTCCTCCAGTTTTCCTATACTATCCCCAGAGGCAGCATTTTCCAGATTGCAGAATGATAAACATTGCCTCCCCGGAGAATGAGATGTTCATACACACTGGCAGGAATGTGAATGGCACGGTGCTGTGGAAAACAGCAGAGAGGTTCCTAGCTTACACAAAAAATCAGGGTATGATCCAGCAATCCCATTGCTAGGTAAACACCCCGAAGAATTGAAAATGGAGATGCGAACACATACACATGAGTGCTCACAACTGCAATCTGTGAACCCAACCGCCAAAAGGTGAATACAACGGAAGTCCATCAGTGGATGAATGGGTGAACAAATGATACCGTACAGCATGGCTAAACTTTGAAAACATGTTAAGGGAAAGAAACTAGATACCAAAGGTTATGTACTGTATGGTCCCTCGTGCATGAAATATCCAGAATAGCTGAATCATAACGACAGAAAGAGGACTGGCAGCTGTCAGGGGTGGGAGGTTAGGGGAAGAATGAGGAGTGAATGCTTAATGAGTAGGGGGTTTATTTTAGGGTGATGAAATGTTTTGGAATTAGTTAAAGGTGGTGGTGCAACATGGTGACTGTACTAAATGCCACTGCACTGATCACTTCAAAAATGGTTGATGAGGGACCAGCAGTTAGCGTAATGGCTATGTCGCTGGACTCCCATGTAGTTGACCGCAGCTCAAGTCCCAGACCTGGTGGCATGCGTGTGCGTGCATGCCCAAGATCCCAAGAGGAGAATGGAGGAGAAGGGATTGCGATGTGGACATCTCCCCTACGGGATGATTTCTCGCTTTCTGTCTCTCTCTGTCTTTCTGGCGAGAGCAAAAACCTCCCAAAAAAAAAAAAAAAAAGGTTAACGCTGGAGGTCAGCAGGTGGTGTAGTAGTTAAGGCACTGGACTTTCATGTGTTTGACCATGGTTTAAGTCCCAAACTTGGCAGCTTGAAACACACCAGGAGTCTGTGCATGCATGCCCAAAATCCCAAGAGAAGAATAGAGGAGAAGAGATTATGGCATGGCCATCCCTACTGGGGGGTGATCTCTCACTTTCTGTCTCTCTATCTTTTTGTCTCTCCAGTGAGCACATGCACCCTGTAGCAAAACTCTCTAAAAAAAAAAAAGACTAATTTAGGGGTCAGCAGGTGGTGTGGTGATTGAGGCATAAAACTCCCACATGGTCAACCACAGTTTGAGTCCCAGATCTGGCAGCTTGCTTTCTCTCTCTCTCTGATGAACACACATGCCCTATAGCAAACTAAAAATAATAATAATAAATAAAATTAAATAAATAATTATTTTAAAAACTGGTTAATTTGGTCATGAGAATTTTATCTCAATAATAAAAGAAAAAGAATGTCAACATGACTAAGAAGAAAAACAAGTCACATTCTACCAAGTGGGTCTTCAAAAGCTGTCATCCTCTGTGTCACCTTGATAGACAAGAAAGGCCTCTTCTGGTGACTGAATGATCCGCCTGGCTCTGATGCATGTGATTCCAGTCCTACAGTAGATGTCTTTACACTTCAGGCCCCCTTTCTGTGCTGGGAGGTCTACAGACACTGGCTTTAGTCCCTGGTTTGCCAGACACCGAAAATAACTGATTGAGACAGAATGCACTCCCCGCCAGAAGATCAAGCTTATCCCTAAGTGTTTCTAACTGCTTATTAGAATATAAAAGCAAGTTACAAACTCCAATATAAGTAATTAGAAAGGCTCTTGGGGTAAGGGGGACCAGCAGATGGTGTAATGGTTATGTTGCTGGACTCCCATGTAGCCAACCATGGTTCAAGTCCTGAACCTGGCAGCTTAAAACTCACACTAGGCATGTGTGTGTGCGTGTCCAAAATCCCAAGAAGAGAATGGAGGAGAAGGGATTGCAGTGTGGCCATCCCCCCCAGGGGGTGATTTTTTGCTTTCTGTCTCTCCCTATACCAAAAATATCTCTTAAAAAAGGGGGACCAGCAGGTAGCATGGTGGTTGAGGTACTAGACTCCCACACGGATGGTCACAGTTTGAGTCCCAAACCTGGTTGCTTAAAAAACATGCCGCGGGCACATGAGTGTGCATGCCCAAAGTCCCGAGAGGAGAACAGAGGAAAACAGTTTGCGGCATGACCACCCTCCCTTAGGAATGATTTCTCACTTTCCCTTTCTCTGTTTCTGTCTGTTTCCAGCAAGTGCATGTGCCCTATGGCAAAAACTTAAAATAAATAAATAAATAAAAGCAATTCTACCTAGAAATTTCAGCTTAATCATTATAAAGAAATAACAGTAGAAGGAAGTGGTGATAATCTATCTCTGTTCTAATTTTAAGATGTGAATAATTAACCTCCCAGGGGAAGAGAGCAGAATTTTAACCATTCAATCCAATAAGCATCCAATTCAAAAATAGATGTGGCACTGCTGGGACAGACTGCCACCCTGATTTAGCGTGGTGGCAGCTCCCATGAAATCAGTCATCACTTCATTATGCTCCACACTCCACACTCTTGGAGCATTAATGTCGTTTAGTTCTGTTTTTAGGCAAGTAAATGCTGAATAATACTGAGTTTTGTGGGCATCATGGCTTGTGTAAAGGCATAAAAAGTTCGTATTTTTGCAACACCAAATTCTGTTACTAAAAATTGCTAAATTACTACAGCTTTCATATTCTATAAGAAGTTTTTCCCAGATAGAAACAGTATTAGTCATTATTCCTTAAAAGTTTATATCTGGGCCGGCAGGTGGCGTGGTGATTGAGGGCTCTGGACTCCCACACGGCCTACTGCGGTTCAAGTCCTAGACCTGGCGGCTTGCTTTCTCTCTTTCTTTCTTCTTTCTTTTTCTTTCTTTCTTTCTTTCTTTCTTTCTTTCTTTCTTTCTTTCTTTCTTTCTCTCTCTCTCTCTCTCTCTCTTTCTCTCTCTCCCTCCTTCTCTGGTCAAAGAAAGAAAGAAAGACAGAAAGAAGAAAGAAAGGAAGGAAGGAAGGAAGAGAAAGAAAGAAAAAGAAAGAAAGAAAGAAAATAAAGTTCAATAAAGTAATCTTAACAAAAAAGTTTATATCTATAAGTTAATAAATAATTATGTATTATCATACTCAACTACACACAAACTTTTGCTTAGCAGCATCCTTATAAGGATAAGGGTCGATGGCTCAGTTTGATACCAGTGTATTATCATACAGAGCGGCAACTCCTTTCTGGACCTCGCAAGAGGAATCTAGTTACCAAAGTAGCCTAAGGACTCTCTTTTGCCCCGCTTTAATCCTAAATGTGTGTATTGGGATGGTTTTCCACTCATCTTTTGCTATAGGGTGCATGCGCTCGCCAGACAGACAAGAGAGAGACAGAGAGACAGAAAGCGAGAAATCACCCCCCAGGGGGCATGGCCATGCCTCAATCCCTTCTCCTCCATTCTCCTCTTGGGATTTTGGGCACGCATGCACACATGCCTGGCGTGAGTTGGAGTCCAGTGACATAGCCATTACGCTAACTGCTGGTCTCTCCACTCATCTTGAGTCAGGATTCCTTTAGTGCTGGTTCTTCCTGAAGGAACATCCTTCTGTAAGCCTCACTTTTCCTGCTGTCGGTTGACAGAGGACAGAGGAGCAGCCAATGCACAGAACTACTGTAAAGACTGGTGATTTTATAGCATCCTGGGCATTTCACATCCATGAAGTAGGAATTTGGGCTCTGCACCAGGCGCTTCTTCTCCCTGTGTTTCCTCTTCTCTTCTGAAGAGAGATGAAGGAGGTCCTTTGGGAGAGGCGTGTTCTTGTGGGGAGGTCGTCACCACCAGAGAGGCAGGACTTTCTTCTCAAAAAATTTCACTATAAGGAGATTCCAGGGTTATCAATATGCTGTGATAGCCCCTGTATAAGAGCTCCCTAATTATCTTCTTTCAAAATAAAAAAGTAAAAAGAAAGAAAGAAAAGCAGAGTGGAGGCAAAGGAGGAGAACAGGGAGAAGAAAGGGGAGAGGAGAAGAAATAAATTAGGAGAGTCATATGCTCCCCAGCTCCAGGAGCAACTAGCATGGACACAGGATGAACTGAACGAAGCTGAACACCAGCCTCTGCTTCTGGCTGGCCTTTCACAGCACATAGTGGCGATAGGAGCCTGGCTTTCAGAAATCAGCTACTATAGATGGTTCAAAATCCATCCTCATCATTTAGAAGCTGTGATCCTCACGAAGTTGACTAGCCATTCTAATTCTTTATTTTGTCTTGTTTTGTTTTTTAAATTTGCTAAAGGATGCATGTAATCATTGGAGGAAGGGAGAGAGGGGGAGCGTGAGAAAGCACCCTCCCCCCAGGGGGATGCCCACTCTGCCATCCCTTTTCCATTATCTTCTTGGGATTTGGGGCATGTGTGCACATGCACCCAGCATGATTTTCAAGCCAAGTCTAGTCTTTGAACCATGCAGTTGGCCATGTGGAACCCAGCTGCCTTAACCACCACACCAACGGCTGGCCCAGGCTTTATTTCTTTATCTCCCAACAAAAATAATCCCACCTCCCTCCCAGACTTGAGGCCTTCAATGGGAGAACCAGTGCCTGGCCTGTGCGCATGGTGCCTCTCTGTGGTCCAATGCACTGACAGCTGGACTCTAGCCTGGAAAATTGCTCTTGTTGATGCTCTACTGGAAAATCGGAACACAGCCAATGCAATTAGGTTTTTTTATTAAAAAAAATTAAATAAAATAGTGATCCATTATATATAAAACTGAGCTGGAGTCTGTAGTTCATGGTGGGGAAGGTTCAGAAGATGGAGACAAAGATGGAGCTGTAGTACTTTCTTTTTCTTCATATCTAGGAGGCGGTTCAGAGGAAGGATGTGGAGTGTACGCGATCTCAGAGGATAAATTAGTACCAGAAATAGTATATATAGATTCACAATCTCTCTCAGAGGCTGCACCCTGGCT